CTGCCTTCCATTTCGTGTGTGTATCCCATTTCATCTGGTTAAATATGGTATATAGCCTTGGTCTGTCAAAAATATTTTAATGGGCCAAGGGTGTAGCTCAGTGGTAAAGTGCTTGCTTAGCACATACAACACACTCAAACAAAAAAACATTTTGTGTTCTTTTCTCTGCAACATATGATTTTATAATACTACACATGGATTAAGACCAAAATCATAGTATCACAGCACTAGGAACCTCCTCCACATTGATACTAATTACAATCAACCAATTACTAACAAACCCACGCTTCGTCTTATGGACAAATTTTCATTTACCATATTTTCAAATGCCTTGCTAAAACCCTGCTATTCTTTGTCTTCTATATTTCTGTAATTCATTTTGTATGAAGCCTATCAAAGAAGGAAAAGAAGTGTTCTTGCAGGCCATTTACTTATGCATTCTAGAATTTGTGGTCAGGTAAGGGACTGTAGAATACAGAATCCACCTTTTTCAGTGACCATGTTCTGAATGCCCAAGACACATAGCTTATAAGACCCTCACTTGTTATTCTAGGTGTTCTTGTTCATATATTGACTGTACCTGTAGACAGAGAGTTCTTGAACTCCCAGGTTGTGCCTTAGATGCCTCTAAACATCTCACGGTAACTAGCACAATATCCTACCCAGCAACTTTTCTTTGAATGCATGAATGAATTTTGCCTTTTACTCCCACTAACTTACTTTTTTTTTTAATGAAAAAAGATTCTGAATTCCAGTGAGTTCTGGAAGGCTGTGCTTCTTAGGCATGAGGGAAGTGGTGGGCATGGACAGATCTCCACAGTTCCAGTAATTTATCTTAGTCACTGCTCATATAAATGAGCTTATTAAGATAAAGGCATTCTTTGCAATTCTGTGTGATGCAAACACTGAGAAACAATGACATAGTTCTTGAAACATGACAACTTTACCAGAATCTATGGTAATGGCCAAATTAGATGCAGGAAAAAAATTTCAAAACAAACACCAAAAACCTTGCCTTTAGTGGAGCCACTTAAGTTAGCATAATATATATGCAATAATGTTTTTTTTTTTTTGTGAGCTTAATACTAATGCCCACTGAGATGACATAGAGGAGTTGTATTCAAAGTATAAAAGAGAGCCAGACAAGGAAATCTGGCTTCTCTCTACATTATTGCTCCCTCCACAACACAAGCAGTCATATATCTGAAAATTCTCTAATATAAGATAGAAAAGGTGAGCAACTATAGAGAAATGGTGGAAAGGCCTGTGGTTGCCATGGGTCAAATGACTTTCTTGTTTTCCCTCTTTCTTACAGGAAGAGAAGATTCCACAAATACTCCAGAACATTCTACAACTAGAAAAACCATACCAACCCAGGTTTACAACTGGTATCTAATTGGTAGAAGCTGGGAATGCTTATCAATATCCTGTAATACACAATACATACTCCTTCTGCCAACAAAGAACCAGCTGACACAAAATGCCAATAGTGTTATCTCAGTCAAAAATTTCAGTTACAAAGTATCAGTAGTACTGCTATGGGGGCTGAGGTTGGAGCTCAGTGGTTGAGCATTTGCCTAGCATGTGTGAGGCACTGGGTTTGATCCTCAGGACCACACAAAAGAAAATAATAAAATAAAGGTATTGTATCCATCTACAACTAAAGAAATTATTATTATTATTTTTTAAAAAGAGTATTGCTATGGAAAATCCCAGATCAAGGGTTATGGTTCTAACCTCAATCTAGAAATTCTGCTTCATTATGAAACCACCTGCTGTGAATCTGGAATGTAACTCAAGGTGACGAGCACTACAAGATGCTTTTCAGTTCTATAGTGAGGTGAGAATACCAAGCCCAAAAGCCCAAACTAGAGAACTGTTTTGGATGGCAATGTGAATGCAGGTAGAAAGTTCTGGAATGCTCATGACAGTTCCTCAGAGGAGCTGACTAGAAGGGCACTTGGGGAATTCTAGTCAGAGGGTAGCTCCCTCCTGCACATATAGAGGAATCCAGAAGCATCAGTGAGCCATGCTCATGGTCATCAACGGGCCCTGAATGACAGCTTGTAAAGATGTAACTGCAGACTGAGGGTCCAGGAATGTGAGATGGATATGAAACAAATGTACTGACTGGAGAGGGTGCTGCTTTCCATGCTGACTCCAGCAGTCTTCGTCATATAGGAGTAAAGGGGGAGCTAACTTCACTTGGAGCCCTTCCATAGCGAACCTTTTCTCCCAATGCTTATCAGTTTTGATATGGCTAAGATTTTAATCATCACCAGTTTTATACACATGGAAAAGCTGGTAGATTTAATGAAGCTTCCAGATACCCCCTGAGAGATGATTATAACTCTAATTAAAAATGGGAGATGACAAAGGAGAATCCCGTGAGACTCTGTAAGCAAGTGGCATTCATAAGTTGTCTTTCATGGAGAAGATTACTTTGTTCATGTCACTTTGGGCTCTTTCCAGGAGTAAAGGATGGTGTCTCTAAATTTTATTACATTATGAAATTTAATGTAGTTTGAAGATAAGAAAATGTATTAAATTGTAAGGGGCAAAAGTGTTTCTAAGTCAAGCCAGATTCTCATTTCATTTCATATACCTATACTTTACCATCTCCGTGATTACATATAGCACAGGATATCAAAGGTATCATCTAAATAAATTCCTTCTTGGTGTCAACTCCAGGTATGAAGAAGAACAAGGGAGGAATGAGTGGGGCAGAATGAGCATTGGGAATCCATACTCAGACAAGACTTGGGGACCAGGTAGGTATGGCCAGTCAGAGTAGGTAATTGGGGCATGGATCCAGGTAACTAAATGATAATGATGGGCCCCAGACAATTATCAGGTAGGTCTTGAAGTTCAAGGCAGTCACCTGTACTGAGACACATGTATCAGAAGACAGAACCACTAATAGAAGCTCATTTTATCACAAGAAGGCCAGTTTTCAGACTTTAGGGAGTCATTGGAGAGGCTTGGCCGTACTTGGGTCCTGAAAGGGAAATCCCATTACTTAGTATCCATCATGGGGGTACGGGGGGGGCAGAGTGTAGCCAGAAAAAGCCAGAAGCAGAAGGGCACAGCTCATTGAGAGGTCTTAGGCTTAGATGGGTTGTGCATTTGGACAAAACACAGCCCTGGATAGAGATTTCAGTAGGCTACCCAGACATACATCCACTTCCCCCCCAAAAGATAATACTACATCTTTATACATCAGACTTACATTTTCTAATCCATACATATATTTTACCAAAGAGAAATAAAATGAGAGAGAGCTAGGCCAACATGAAGTCTGTTGTGGCATTAACAAAAGGTGTGTTATGGGCCACCTCTATATTAAGTCATGGATGTGGTGACTGTTCTATCCATTGAACTTCCACTGATTGGCATGATTTGGGACAGTTCTCTGAAAAAGAAGCCCCGGGATTCAAGATTCTTTCCTGGATAAGGTCACTGTATCCTTGCAGACTCACATCCTGAGACACCAAGTTGCTCTGGGAGACTGAGCTGCAGACAATGATCACTGAGAGTTTTCTTAATGATTGGCAAGATCTGGAGATGTCCCACCAGTGCCCAGGTCTGGGGAACTGTCTTCAGGATGAATAAATACACCTGAACCCAAGCTGCTTGCTTTGAGATTGGTGGTCCCCAAATTCATCTCCAGCCTTGATTCCTCCCCCAATCCTACATGTAATTCACAAAATATCTACCTGTGATTTCCAAATAGTGTGCATCTTCTCTGCTGGGAATGCCTTGCCTCTTCTCCATCGATGCCATCCTGAACCTTCTCCCTGGAAAACCTCCTAGGTCAGCTACTTTCTTCATATTTCATACTCTCCAAGTTCATTACAACAACTCTATTTAAATAATGTCTGTGATTGACTACTTGGTTATTTTTCTTATGAAGCAGAAAGGACTTTGAACTCAGGGACCATTGGTTTAAGTACACAAGAACTGTGTGCCTAGCTCAGTGCCTGCCACACAGTATAGGCTCAATAAATACTTGTGGAAGGAGCAACAGAGAGAGGAAGGTAGAAAGGAAGGTTAAAGAAGGAATAAATACCACTAACAAGGCAAATAGCCGATTCAGGCTCTTCAAAAAGGACCAGCCTGCTTGGGAGAGCCCATTTCATAGAGATCTACAAATGAATTGGCAAAGGCCTTCAGTGACTTCAGGACTGATTCTTACTGTACTTACTGGCAGAACCCCAGGGAATCCTTCTTCATGAACTGGTAGTGGCATACCTTCCTGGAAAGCCAGCACACAGAGCCATCCAGCACCAGTTACTGGAGGCCATGCCAGAGGGCTCCTGGCATCTCAGATGCTGGGCCTTGCTAAGTCCTGCCACTACCTACTAATTACCTTTGAGACCCTGAAATGTGATATTATGGCATTTGATAATTATCAGTAATGACCCAAACTACTCAACCTTAGTTTTGGTGAATTGCTTTAATCTATTTGATGATCCTCATCAGATGGAGCCTCATTCAGAAATTCTGATAGGTAGCTTTAGAAAGTGCTGCTTTTTTTTTCTTCCCCAAAATAGTATCCAATGGTGACAAAGATTACTGCAGCTAAAAACCCTGAGGAATATCTATGAGGATTTTTCGAGATGCTAGAACTTGACAATACAGAACGCTTCTACTTTCCACAGTCCTCAGCAAACCAATAAATTCATTATTCAAGATATTCAATAGAACATTCAGCACATATCCTTAGCTGCTCTCAGAAACCAGTGCCGTTGATATATAAGCTGCGCAAAGAAAGTGCTTTTAAGCTCATTGTTGAACATGGTAATGTACTATCTCCCAATCAAAGAATCAAAGAATGAGCCAGAAGGTATCTTATAGATAGACTCATCTGAAATAAGGACCCTAGGGCTCAGATGGGAAAGGTAAGTCACTTAGTAACCTGTCCAGGGACACACAGTCAGTGAGTGGCCCAACTTGGGTTAAAACCAAACATGATGACCTTCTAGTACCTTTCTGCTGCTCTGTACTGATGGCAAACTCCATCCTACACTCATAGGAAAAAGACCAGCATCACATAGGCCCAAGTTTCTGAAGAAACCATCGTCCCTACTAAAACAATAGCCCATTTAAATTTAGTGCAGGCTGGTCAGGCCCAGAGCTTTACCAACCCCCAGAAAACAGAGTATTGTTTCCATCCAAACCTTGTACTGAAAGGAAGCCTGCCATCTGGCAATGACCTCGTGAGACAACTTTGGGGAGAGCAAAGGGCTGAGAAGAGAAAGGCCTTATTCTCACTGCAAACAGGAAAAGGAAAGAGAAAAAGCCAGCTCTGTCTCCACACCAGGTTTGCTGGGCTGGCTATGAACTGTTCCAGGACGTTCCATCAAATAGACGCCTTCATAGAGTCAAGCCAAGCGCGAACACTGTGTCTGGGACTCCCACTCCTGGGACACACACGTGGGCCTGCTCACACTCACTCCTGCTCTTGCGCACCCTGGGAGAGCGCTTATATGGGCTTCATGAGGCTAAGTAATAAACACTTTGTCTTCACCCTGCTATTTATGGGTTGCTTGGGGCATCCTGTTCTCTCTGCTGCCCTTACCTGAACAGACGGCTCTTGCAGACCCGCAGTTTAATGGGGACGACAGTAAATCTGAAAGGCTCTGTGTGCCGGGCACGCTCCTGCTCTCCTGCCCACCCTGCTGTTTCCATAGACAGGCCATCCGTGCATCTATTCTGTATCCATGCATCTATTCTCGGGGCTCCCCATCTCCAGGAGGAAGCCCTCCTTTCTCCTTGGGCCTTGGTCTTTTTTCCTTCCTTTCAGCCACGGCTCTAAGAAATCCTTTTCTGTGTTACCTCTCCCAGGGATCTCCCTTCACCCGTCAGCCGTGGAGCAAACAGTTGTGCAAACAAGAGCAACTCCAAGAGCTGCAAAGCAACAGCAGTGGCCTCCAGAGGAGGTTCCTGGGCAAACTGGACGCACGCACATGCAGAGCGAAGGAGATGACCCGTCCTACCTGGCGCTGACTTCCAGGTTCACTTAGAGGCCGAGTGCTTCCTCTGGCCCATTGTGTTTGGATGGCCAAGGGGGAAAGATGCACATTGGGAAGCAGGAAGTGCGCCCCACCAGCAGGCGTCTGGTAGCTGCAGAGGAAATGCTGGGAAGGTCCAGTGGATGGGAAGCCCCAGCTGATCACCTTGGTGAGTTTAGGGGGGCTCTTTTTTACTCTCTTCTTTGGGGTTTCCAGGACTCTCGGGGCTGACAAGTCCTAGGAGAAGAGATGGAGTCACGGCCGCTCCCTGTCCACTCGCAGGCCATCATACCAGCCTGGAGCCCTGCCATCTCTCGGTCTCGTGTTCATCTCGGGCCCAGCGGTGGACTTCTGAAAACAGACAAGACAGAGAAGGATGCGTTAACTCGGCCTCTCCCCACAGAACGCAGCTCGCCATTGCAGCGCTGATTAAATACGGGACATTATCTCACCATAATGCCCTCCTGGCGGCGTTCCCAGGAAAATTCTAACTAATCATAAAAATAGAAAGAAAAACGCAACCTAAATTCCATTCCTCGTCTTAAATGAGTGATGTGTTCACTTTTATTTATTTTTCTGGAAGCGAGGCGGGAAAAGAAAATGAATTTTAGGGCTTAGAAAAACAAGCTACTAATAGTACTAAGTAGGGCTGGGCGGTGGTGCGGACAGCTCAGCTCTAGCAGATGGAGCCGGCATGGCATGGCCTGGCATGGGTGGGACCCGGTGCTTCCCCTGGCTGTAAACTTTGAGTTTAAAACTGGAGCACCTGGCAGGGCAATGCTAGGATTGGGGGAAGGACTGGGATGGTTGTGGGGTTGAGAGTGTATACATGCACACACGTGAGTTTAAACACACACACACACACATGCACACCCCACCCGAGCTCAGTGCTCAATAATTTCCTTATGTCCCTGGCAGGCAAGTCCTCATCCAATACTCTTTCAAGCAATGCCTGATCTTTCTCTAGCAACATTCTTTCTGTAGACACAGTCTGGTTTTGGAATTCTATCCCTGGAGGATCCTTTCCTTGAGATTCAGCGATTCACACTGTAGACACTGGAATAAATGGGAACCTGCTCCAAGAACCTTGACTCTGATCCAGGTGTTGGCATTCTAAATCCTCCCTTCATGGCAGTCATCTGACTGTAATGAATGCAATGATCCCATGGTTGGTTAACTTGGTTGTCATTCATTCTCTTGGATCAAAAAAAAAAAAGTGTATGTCTTGTTGCCTAGTGCTGGGTACATAGTAGCTGTTCAACAAATAGCTCTGTTGGAGGGGTGCTCATGGTCCATCCAAACCTGTCCATGATTACCTTAGGGCTTAGGCTTAGCAGCAACCAGCAGATGTGGTTGCTCCAGATGGGTCCACAACACTGAGTACCAAGCTCCCCCCCAAAAAAAAAACAGTTTTTGCTCTTTCCTTCTGGAAAGTGTTCACAGATAAACCCCAGGAACGTTCAGAATCCTGAAAAAAACAGCTTCTGAGATGCTTCTCATAATGTTATGCCAGATGAAAAGAAAGTAGAAGACACGCCCACATGCCTCCTACCTCTACCTGGACCCGCTCTGGCATTAGAACCCCAGTGATGCCATCCCCCATCGTAGCTACTGCTGAAGTAATGGGCACAGTTGCTTGATGGCAAAGTTCTAGCTGGGCTAATTAAGCATACTGAGCTAATAACCTTCCATTTTGGGACCGGTATTATTCATAATTTAATGTATTGCTGCTGAAACATTAACCTTTCGACAACTGGCACGTTGCCCGTGGCAGCACAAGTGCTGACCATCTTTCAGTAGAATGAGTATTATTGTTAAAACAGGTATAAATCATTCATGGCTGCAGCTTTTGTGTCAGAACCTACGTGAAAATAAGCAGTAAGCTGGGTAATTTATTTACCTTTTGGTGATTATTTTTTATGATTTTATGTTCATATTCAGTGATTCATAAACATTGGCTGGGTGCCATTTTGTAATCATTTTACCTTTTAAATATTAGTGCGGCGGTTCTGCTTTTCATCTTTGAAATTTTCAGGATTGATACCGGGCAACTTAATCCGGGCACAAATGCAAAAATTCATTTGAAAGAAGTGGGGGGAAAAAGAAAAGTGTCAGAAAAGTGTCCCGGCCTCTTCGTTTTAACAAACCATTTTCAACAGAACCATTTACAGCTTCCACTTGTTACAGCATTGCACTTATGGCAGCAAACTTTCTTTGAAGTTTAACACACAGAGGGTGCCTTGAAATCTGAATAAAAGCACAGGAAAACAGTTAACAAGCTTCTGGTTGGAAAGATGATGGGAAGGAGCTGAGGGGTGGAGGGAGGCCTGGAAACACTGGCTCCAGGCCAAGAAGGTTGGACGTGGCCAGCCCTAACCCAGCACCTGGTTAGGGAATGTGATTACAATCCCCTGGGGTCCTGGAAGTTCTACTGCCCGCCTGCCTGCTCCTGCTGCTTGTGCTAGCTTTGGGGCCCCCCACCCCAAACAGTTCCAGAAGGTAGCTCTATCTCCTATGACAACAAGCAGGAGCTGGAGAGGCTGAGAGGCAGTCGGGTTCTTCCCGGCCTGCAGGTTCAGGAGAGCTCCCAGCATCCTGCGGGCTGTCCTCCAGGACTCCTTCACATTTCTTAAAACAATGAAAACGTGGGATTCCTAATATGTAGTGACTGTCGCTAAAGTCCTGATGCTGGGAGGCAAGGAAGTCAGGAGAAAGCAGAAAATGTGACATCATGCTAAAACTCTTAAGGCAGAAGGAGGCTCGGGAACAAGAAGCTTCTGGAAGCTCATCTCACATCAAGTGTGTTGGCATGGAGGGGCACCTGGCCCAAGAAGACTGGTAACTTTGCCCCAGGCATAGATGAGGTCTTGAAACACAGCCATAAGCACAAACAAACTACCACATCCAGCAGGCTTCTCTGAGAGCACAGGAATGGGTATACTTCTTTCTGGGGTGGTTTCAACAGACTGGCTCTGGGACAGCTGCTGGCCATCTTATCCACCTTCCGTTTGTTTAGTTTCCCATTTGTAGCTTTCACGATTCTTTTCAATTGGATTATCTGATTTTAGGTTTTACACACATATTTTACATCCCTGATCATTCACGGTGGGAAAATATATACAACACACCATTAACCATTTTAACCATTTTTAAGTGTGCAATTCAGTGGCATTAATCACATCCAAGATGTTGTGCAAATATAACCACTATCTATCTCTGAAACTTTCTATCACCCTAAAGAGGAACTCTTTACCCATTAGGCAAAAAGATCCTCCACCCTCCTCCCCTGCTTCCCTGCCCCCGGCCCCTGGGAACCTCTAATCTACTTTCTGTCTCTATGGATTTGCTCTTCTGGACATTTCATGTAAATGGCATCATACAATATGTGTCCCTTTGTGTCTGACTTATTGCACTTAGCATAATGTTTCCAAGGTTCATCCATGCAGCAGCATGTGCAAGAACTTAATTTTTTAATGCTTAAAAATATTCCTTTGTATGCATATATCACATTTTGTTCGTCCATTCATTTACTGATGGGCATTTGGGTTGTTTCTCTGTTTTTGCTATTGAAATAATGCTGCTGTGCACATAGATGTATAGGTATCAGAGTCCCTATTATATTTTGACTATTATACTTTTTTTTTCAAAAAAAGTTCATTGCACATTATATTCTCTGATCTACCTTCATCTTGAATGCTCTGCTTGCTAGCTTGGCAGAGTTGGCCTGGACACAAGTGGTAAAGCCATTCCTGCCTGGGAACTCCTTTCCAGCCATCCTGTCCATACCATAGCTTCAGCGGGATTCTGGTAGTGGCCCTGTGGCATTGCCAAGCCTAGTGCTGGTTGTGAATTCTGCGCCAGTAACCCTCACTCCCTACGGTGGACTTGATAAAACAGGCTGCTTCTCAGGTATGCTAAAGAACAAATTAAGAAACAGAATAACCTGGGATGAGTGAAATTCCCTTTCAATCATGTCAGCCAGAGCAGATGTTGTCATGAAATTTGATGTTATGGATTTATTTCCTCATACAAAGTCTAAAAGGGAAAACAGCGTAAGAGCTGAAATGTGAATTGGACATGTCTATAGAGTGTGAATTGGATTCAAGACAAAATATTGTGAATGGTTAATAGGGTCAGTCTAAGTATACTTGCTGAAATAATCTCTTGGATATGCAAATATTCTGAGAACTACACTGTCAAATATCTATTGTATCCTCTTATCTATGTGTTCACAGAACTGCTACATGTTATAACAAATGAAAAATGTGAATTTAAAAAATAATGTCACCCTAAAATAATACTTTGCTTTGAATAGTAATTTTTGTTGTTGGAGTTTTTTTTTTCTTTTTCATTTTTGTCACATACCAGAAAGCCAGGTTCTTAACACAGCAGTTTTTAGAAATATTAAGACGTGAACTTTGTGCTCCCTGTTCTCAGTAGTAACAGACATGGAGTAGGAGTAGGGAGAGAGCAGGGACAGGTCACATGTCCAGCTTGATCTGGGTCAATAACATACCTAGCTATTACCCCAGTGGAGTTTCTGCTTCTCAGTGGCCTTCCCTTTCTTGGGGACTCTGAGTTGAGGACCTGAGATGTGTCTCAACATGGTAATCGCACACTACAGTGAGGACGAGGCCAGGGAAATTCAGACAAAGAGGCTTGGGGAGATGCTGTAGCCTTAACTATGGACAATTTCTAGGGCTCCACCACTGGCAAGTAGCCGAGTGGATCGAGTTGTTCAGTCTCTTTTCCTCTCCTTTGCCTCATTTTTGAGACTTGGGCTAGTTGAGCAGAGAAGGAAGGAAAGAGCAGAGAGTCGGGAACAATAATGCCTGGCCTGGCACACCCTTCACATCCTAGAACTGTCCCACGGTAGGTACTCAAAAAAATATGGAGTGAATCAACACCTGCACTAGATACCCGAGAGCTGGCGTGACCTGACCAATGGGTGTGCCTCTCTCTCTCTGGTCTGGCCTAAGTTTGCTGGGTTTGATCAACTTTGGCCGAATTTGGCTCTTAGAACTATCAGGAGGTGGGAGAATGAAAGACAGCCCTTTCATTCCATTTAAATGGGAATATCTCCAACGTTTCCAGTTTACAGGTTAAAATCCAAGTCTCAGGATTCTCTAAAGAAAGGATGCTGAAGGCCAAATATGGGGGGACAACTGGCCCCAGCACCTGCCTTCTGCTCTTCGCCCATTCCTAGGAGGCACCCCATCCTTCCTCTGGTTTTTGAGACCTTTCTTATCCCCACATTCCTTCCCTGATACCTGTTCTGAACCCCACCTGCTCCAAGCCCTGCCTGCTTTTTCCTGGCCAAGGTGACACAACCTCCTGGTTTCACCTCCCCT